CAACTCCTTCCTCTGCAAACCCCCTCCTCTGCAAACCCCTTCCCTCTGCAAGCCCCTTCCTCTGCAAGCCCCTGCCTCCGCAAGCAGCCCCACCCCCGACCCCTCCCCCCCTCACCCCCTCAATGGACGACAGCGGCGACTTCTACAAGTTCCTCTACGTCTTCCTGGCCCTCTTCACGCTTGTCCTGGCCCTCGTCGTCCTGCGCTTCTTCCTGCACCGCGTCGCCCACCGCGACCCGATCGGCTCCTCCCTGCCACTGCCGCTGCTCTCGCCGCGCCCGTCGCCCGCGCGCGCCGCGCTGGAACTCGCCGCGCCCGTAACGGCGCTGGAGAAAACCCACGCGGACCAACCCTGCCCCGTGTGTCTCGACGCGCTGCGCCCGGGCGACGCGGGGCGCGTCCTGCCGTGCGGCCACGCCTTCCACGACGACTGCGCCCTCTCGTGGCTCGTCAAGACCAACGCGTGCCCGCTGTGCCGCCAGCCGCCCGTGTCGCACCCGACCTACTCGTACCCGCCCGAGCTGTCAGACGACCGCGAGCGCCGCAGCGACTCCCACGCCGCCCTGCGCGCGCTCAACGACCGCCTCGCAGAGCTCGACGAGCAGATCGAGCAGCGCAGGAGGCGCCAAAGTGCAAGCGATGCCCCCCGGGATCGATGCGTACACATCCCATGCACAACATGGGTCCGCTGTAATCGCTGAGCCGGCGCTTCTTCTCTTTTTTTGCTTGCCCGCCCCGTTCGATCCTTCCTCTTCACCTTCATCCGGCGGCAGACGCGGCGCCCCACGTTCAAGAGGCGCAGCTGCACAGAGGCTGTCTTTGCCTTCCGTGACCACCTTGCGCCCCGCGCGTGCGCCTCCTGCCCTCGCCGGTCGCTTCCTCTTTACGCTCGTCCGACGCCTTCGGCTCTTTGTACAGGCACGCCCAACTCCACGCCTACACCTATCCGCGACCTCCTGTAAAGTAACCCCAGCAAAGCACGTAGACACAAAGTAATAGACGCAATTTTTCACTACCCAAACCCGCCTGACTTCTGCCTTCGTATCCGCCCATCGAGCCCGATCTCGAACACACAATCCCTAAGCCGCACCTCGCGCACTAGTCCAGCATCGGGCCTAAAAAACTCTCCCTCCTCCTCCTCGCGCTTGATCTCCTCCCGTCTCGCCACGGCCGCGGCCGGCGGCGCGGCTGCCGGCACGTACCCGGCGTCAACGCGGTACCCTGAGTAGCCGTACGCGTGCAGGCTGCGCCAGCTGGCGATACGGCTCGGCGGGGCGGACGACGCGGCGCCGAAGCTGCCCAGCGTCGACAGGCTGGCCGTGGAGGCCATGACGGAGAGCGACGACGCGCCCTTGCGCGGCGGCGGGAGCGGCCAGGGGGCGGCCGGGGTGCGGCGCTCGTCGATGGGCCTTCCGTAGAGGAAGGTGCGGGTCTGGAAGGGGCGGGTCTGGAAGGGGCGGGTCTGGAAGGGGCGGGGCGGCGGGGCGCGCTCGGGGCGCGGTTCGCGCGGCTCGCGCGCGCGAGCCGCGGTGGGAGCGCACGGGAAGAGCGGGAAGGGCAGCGGGTGCAGACGTGGGAGGCGGTACTGGTGGTCGCGGGCCAGGCGCGAGAGGTGCATGACGCGCGAGAGGG